AAATCCAAGGCCACCGCAACTGGTGTGAACTAGGACTAAGGTTAAAAAAAATGGCTGGAGTACAGGGATACTGCAGTGGCAGCAACTACTTATGTTAGTTTTGAGGTCAATAATTATGTCCCAGTGGAGTCCCCTAGGATCCCAACTAATGTGCATTGATTGGCTGAAACCACTGCTGAAGTATACGTATAATGCATGCCCTATTTTTAAATTATTCAACCACATTGTGTAAAGGAGTTAAAATGGCTAAACAGACTAATACTATAGGTGGCCCTTGAAGTCTTCCTGCATTTCCTCCATTTTACATCCCCTATATTGCCCTATCCTGTAATAGACTGTTAAACTTTTTCATCCCACCATCTACCACCTCTCCAGGCCGCATGTACTAGAACGGAGCTATAAGCATACTCAGGCAGGGTCATTGATTGGTTGACAGCAGCCATGTGACCTCCCACTAGTTGTGGCTCAGTTTAGCACCCACAGAAAAGGCAAACCTGAATTAGTGTTAGGTGAGCAGATGGAAACTTAAGCTAGGTTCACACGGGCAGCAGATTGTACTGCCCTCTGAAAAGCAATCCATGGTGGATCACTTTCAGAGGGCAGTTGACAGCCGGTTTAAAGACATTCAGGAGACAATACTGCCACCTCCTGAATACCTGTTTTTTTTTGTTTTTGTATCCCAAATGAGGTTTTGCATTGCAATACCAGACCACAAACGTGTGCCAAGTGGTTGGGGTGCGGTACCCTTTACTGCAATGGAAAGAAAGCACAACATGCTGTATACGATTTGCTGCAACTGTTATGCAAAGCATCACAGCCATGGCATGTGTACAAGCCTGAGTGGCCGCCACTCAGGCTTGTACCCCTGCCATGGCTGGGGGGATTTGCGCCACTCAGGCTTGTACACATGCCATGGCTGTGGTGATTTGGTGGTAAACGGATTGGTGGTAAAAATGAGGACCAGCCACCTGTTCTCTCTGCCCCTGTGACTGCCCCTGTGACTGCCCCTAATAGCTTACTTCAGATTGCAACAGCTTGGACTGGACTGTATTTTTAGCATGAAACGCCTAAGGCGGGGCCTACAGCGCACCAGTGAGGGGACACCAAGCCTCGAACTTTACAAATTGTGATGACCCTGGACATTTGTGGTCACATTCAAAAAGAGAACTACAGGGGCTGCAGGGGATGTTGAGAGAAGTCAAAAGGTTCCTTATAGCTCAGGAAAAATGAAGCTATATCTCCTTTCTCCTTTTTAGTGCTTTGTACAGCTGAAAATAGCTCTGTATATGAGGCAGGCCTCATGCCGACCTCATGAAATAATCAAATGACACGAAGGACAGAGCTTGTACAAAGGGTGTCATGATTCTGGAGGGGATAGAGCAGCAGGATGCCCAAAGGGCCCTGAGCATGTGGGGTATTAAATGGGGAAATGCAAGAAGGCTGGTGTATTAAAGTTCCACTTTACTGTACCGAAATAGAATTAAATAGATAAATGAAAGAAAGAAGCAGCCCGATACACCATCTGAGTTTTACATCACACCATAATGTGGATTGCATCAACAATAAGCATCATCAGTTACACCCAGCACTTGGTTGCTATGGGGGCATGAAAACTGTGCAAGAATTTAATTAGCATTCTGCTAGCAAGGCACAACTGTAAAGAGATCAATGTGTTAGGAAAACCATTTGACTTTTCTCTGTTCTCAGATCTGTAATCTGTTAAAGAGAAACAGGAGTGAAATTCCACATATTTACAAGGCCACTAACCCAAAGAGTCAATGCAGGTATGAGACTAATGAGCAGGGCCCTCTTACCAGTGCCCTCGCTTTTCCTTTCTAATGTCTGCAAATGCTTTTGAAATTCAACAGCTTCATGTAAAGTGCTGGTCTCTCAGTACTGAACATTAAAGGGAATGCACATTGCTTATTATATTTTCTCTATTATTCTTAGGACTAAAAATAAAATTTCAGGATGCTCGTATAGTATTTACAATTTTCAGTCAGTAGTTGTAGCTTTAGGCTCCATTTCATGTCTTTTATCAAGCTAACCCTAACTTCTTTGCTAAAAAAACATCTGTTCTTTAGAGAGCTGATGGGTTAGATTTAGTAGTGAGTTCATGTTATTGGTTGTTTTTAGGGGTGAGTTCATTCTATGAGTTATATTTAGGAGTGAGTTCATGGTATTGGTTATGTTTAAGGGTGGGTTCATTCTATGGGTTATGTTTAGGAGTGGGTTCATGTTATTGGTTATGTTTAGGGGTGGGTTCATTTTATGTGTTATGTTTAGGGGTGGGTTCATTCTATGTGTTATGTTTAGGGGTGGGTTCATGTTATGGATTAGGTTTAGGTGTGGGTTCACATTATGGGCTATGTGGGGTGGGTTCATGTTATGGCTTAGGTTTATGGGTGGGTTTATGTTAGGGGTTCGGTTTAGGGATGGGTTCATGTTTTAATTTGTGTTTAGGGATGGGTTCATGTTTTAATTTGTGTTTAGGGATGGGTTCATGTTATGGGTTGTGTTTAGGTTCATGCTATTGATTAGATTTAATGGTGACATTACATTATGGGTTAGGTTTAGAGTTGTGTTCATGTTATAGGTTAAGTTTAGGGATGGGTTTAAAGTGACATTAAACCCTCAGATTTTTTAACATAAAACAATACTGTAATGTGTGCCTTACTGTAATTCATGGTTGTTTCCCTTCTCTTTGCTGCTCTTCCTTTTAAATCTGTATCTGTTCTCATGCTGGGCAGAACTTCTGTTTTGCAACAGACTGCCTTGTCTCAGGAATGGATACACGGTGTCTGTGTATAAGTTTCTATAGGCTTGTAACCTGAGCCAGCACTACAGGAAGAGGCCCTGAGCTGAAAAGGGAAGTTCTCCCCAAGTATGAGAAGACATGAGGATTTAAAAGGAAGAGCAGCAAAGAGAAGGGAAACAACCATGGATTACAGTAAGGCACACATTACAGTATTGGTTTATGTTAAAAAATCTGAGGGTTTAATGTCACTTTAAGTTACAGGTTAGATTTAGGATTATGTTATGGGTTAGGTACATACAGTATGTGGGTACATGCTATCGGTTAGGATTGGGGGAGGGGTCCCATGTTTTTAGTTTTGGGTGTAGCAAAAGGTTAAACTGTCTGTTAACTTTTTATTGCTGTCTTTGTCTCCACTGGGCAGTCTCACTATTCTTTTTGTCTGGATGACAATTGTCACCAAGACATAAAGTGAGTTACCAAATAAAGAGCTGAGAGCAAATCTTCCAATGGGGCAAATGTTGTAATGATCCACAGCAGCCTGTGATGTTGCTAGACCCAGGTGCAGCATCATCACAGCCCATGTCTTGAGAAGGGCAAAGAACACAGAGGAGGCAGAGACATGACACCACCATTGGTATCTGTTACAGCTGCCTTGCTATTGTTAGTGACTGGATGGGAGTACAGCAGGTGCAGCAAATAATAGTGTATCCTTACATCTCATCTTTAAGCACTAGGCCTATGACTATAGGCTACCAAGGTCAAGAGACGGCTTTTCCTTCTATGGTCACTGGTTACACATCTTTCCCATGATAAGTAGAAATACATTCATCTCAAATAAACTTATATGCAAACTGTTCCAGTAGTCTAAGCAGGGTTAGGAAGAAGAATTTTCTTTTTAAATGGGGTAATCCCACCACAAGGGTTTTGTTTTGGGTGCCAAGGGTTGTGTGCCTATAGCCACCAATGCCGGAAATCAGGACTTTTATCTCTCCCGATTATTTTTACCTGATGTTACTGCTAAAATAAATTGTAAACAGTTCTAAAATGCTGTCCTGTCATCCCCCAGACAAATCGCATCAATGTAACAACAAATGAGGATATAAGAACACCGTATTTCTACATTTATATTAGCAGAGCCATGTATCATTTAGTACGTAGCACAAATTATATTTTCCTGCTTGCATTGAATGGTATTACTCTAACTCAAATTTTGAGCGGAAAATTTCCTGTGAATCACCAAATGCAAGATTTTATTCAGTGATCCAGTCATACAGAGATTTTCTAAGATGATCGAAAATGTGTGACTGATACCAAATCATTTTATCATTCAGAAGAACTCACTTGCTGGTCTAGCTAATGTGGAACTCCGGACAATCAGCTGAAAACACAGTTTAAGTACAGACGTTTACTGTTTTACCTGCCAAAGGATTTGTCATTTCATCCAGTCATTATTGTGATACACACACCTCTACTAAAGAGGACAATCACTCCACTACTTCCTTGGCTTAACACTACTGATTCTTGAGTCTAAATGTGAACAGAATGTACCTGGAAGCATGCTACATTTGCCCATCTACACAAAGCATTACAAATTCTTTGGCAGGTCACACTTTTGCATTTCATCCATATATTAAAGGCTTTAAGGCATAGTCCACCTTTTGGAAAAAACAAAAACAAATGCACCAACAATGATAAAATAAAAAATGTGCATTAAATACATGTTTGCAATTCAGCCTGCAGAGCATTGCCGCTGAGATTAGTGCAGTGAAGGTGCAAAGCACATGCTCTCGCATTGTTTACCCCCAGCCCCAGGTCTGTACAGAATTAAGGAGACAGAGGAAATGCTGAATGAACTACAATTGCAGTGACATCACCACCCTGCTGCTAGCACACTGCTAAGTCCCTTTGCCACAGTGTATTTACGTTCAGCAATCCCTGAAAATAGATGACTGCACAGTCTGGCTGATTAAAAATGAAAAGACAGAATGAATGTACAAACCCCATGATTCTGGTTTGTAGGTGTGGTGTATGTACCCTAACTATGGGTATAACATGAAACATGGTGTAAAAGGTAGACTATGCCTATCGTCATTAGCAATGACTAAATCTGTTACATCAAATGCTATTATTGGTTCATATGTGGTCACCCTTAAGACAATCGATGACCCCTTTTAACAATTTCCATGCTGCTTATGTATCTGATCTTCACTGCAACCAGAAAGCAGAAAAAGGTTGTACTTACAAATTGCCTCCTCAGTTTGCTCTTCACTCTTTGTCCTTGCGGATCGGGTGGCTGCATTGGGTAATGGCAAGAACTAAGGTGGTTGTCCACAGAAATGCTCTTCCTTATGTGGAAGGCTTGCTGGTGACATGGACGGGTTTCCTCTGGGGAAGAGAAGAGCCGTGGAGGGAAGGCGCCAGTGTTCATCTGTCTTTCTCCACAACGCCATGAGTCTACTGTGGAGAAAACACGCAGTGTGAGGAATGCCTCTCCATACAGGCACTAGAAGAATGCATTTTAAACAAAATACCATCAGAAATATTTAATTATACAGGTCAGTCATCTGTAACGGGTATATGACCACTAAGATTACCAGTTGCCTGGCTGTCTCCAACTTTAATATTTTCTGAGTGATTGACCTGGAACAAACATGCAGATTGGAAAATCAAAGTGATGTGAATATTTTTTATCTTTAAACTTGTTCCAGGGATGACAACATACCAGCATTGCAGAAGTAGAGGCCAACAATGGTAGCCTCCATGTGGGTACAGGTTTCCTTTAAAGCAAACCGGCCATTGTCCTTAAAGAAGTACTCCAGGTAAAGAAAAAAAAACGTACCCTTACAGTGGAGTTACCACCGCACTTCAAGGGTTAAGTGCTTGTTTTGTCTATGTGAATCAAAGCAGATTTATTCACCTGATCCACAGTCCCGTAGTGGTAATCACTCACCTCTCTCCCGCTCCAATCTTTTTATGGAATATTCCTCAACATCCTCATGTCTCAGTCAATGGACCTGCTTAAGACGTGATGACATTACTGGTCCGTAGACTGCTGGAGCCCAGGGGAGAAGAGGCCACAGGGACCTTTCTAGCAACCCAGAGGGAGCCGGTGGGACTGAGGATCAGGTAAAAAAATCTGGGCCCCCTAGACAAAATAAGCACTTAACCCTTGCAGAGCTGGGAGCAGCCCCATGGAAGGGTACGTTTTTGATTTTCCCAGAGTAACCCCTTTAAACTTGTTCCAGGAATATCAACCAAGCAACTAGCATTTCAGAAGTAGAGGTCAGCGATGGCACTGGCAGCCTCCATATGGGTCCTTTTTAAAATAAACCGGTCATCACACTTAATGCATTTAGTTAGAAACAACATAAATTGCAAACACTTGAAGATACCTGTGCATTCCTTTAACCAACTGTATGAGTGCGGTAGGGGCCCCAAAACCAGCCACTTGGCTACCCCACCCACCTATTGGTCAAAGGGGCACCCTGTCACAGTAAAGGGACAACAATGATTTGATGGGGTCGGGAGATGAAGGCCACCTCTGAATCCCATAGTACAGGGGTAATTCACAAGTTTAAAAGCACATCGGTTCAATACAGCTCAAAGTCCTAATAATGGTATAATGAAAGCCAAAAAATAAACAATAGTAGTAAACAATAAACAATAGTAATACACCAAAATCATTTCCCAGTTTCTAATATAGTATTTTGTGTTTGTATAACAATATGCACACACAGTAATAACTAGGTATCGGAGTTGCAGACTGAAGATGGGGTTAGCAGTGTATGTTTCCTGGAGTGTGTACCAAAGCATTACTTGACAAACATTTGCGTGTATCAGTGAAGAACAGAAGCAGTTTTGGCAGACATCAGCACACGTCTTCTCCCAGTCGCATATGTGATGTCAATGAGAATGGGAACGCAGCCAGTCTGGGCCTCTTACTTGTAAGACAAGGGTCAGCTTTGAGTGATTCTGCTCCAGCAGGGCAGCAGAGTCACAGATCACTGTTCCCGGAGGGGCTATCCATATGTCTGTTCTTATAAATGTATTTTGTAATATTGCTGCCTAGGTTTTTTTTTATTCTTTTGTCTACCTCATTTCTTTTCTCTGTTTCTAGAAGGATAATCCTCAAATACTCAACCACTGCAACCTCGACATGTCTCCCTAAAATCAAGGGAGTCACCTGTTTTTCTATTCCTCTCACCCGATCTCCATGCATAATGTAAAAATTTAGAAGTAGTTATCGGGTCCCCAGTTTCTTGCAAGTCAGTCTTAATATTATCATATGTGTAACAATAGGATGTTTGTACTACAGTTCCTTTGTTTGGCTAGTGTCCAATCCTCCTGTAGGCAGCAGTATAACCTGAAGGTTTAAGCCTTCCTGTGAACCTCAATGGAGGAGAAATAATCCTTTTCTTGGAGTCCATTGAGGGACACAGGAAGTCTTAAACCTTCACGTTATTCTGACGTCTACAGGAGCATTGAACACTAACAAACAAACTATAGGCCAGGGAATAACCACTTCTACTAATTACCAGCGTCCCTCAATTTTCAGTACCAAGAGCATGATCATAAACACAGAGGAATGGGAACTATTTCCCTCATTGGACTCCAAGCTCGCTCTTGTGATGGACTACAATCTTAATACAAATTAGTAAACTAAACGTAAGATTATAGTCCATCACAGTGTGAGCTTGGAGTGGTGACTACTTTACAACACACACAGGGAACATGGGGAACAAAAGTAGCCACCCTCCAGGAGGAAGGACAGTATTAGCACCAATCCAGAGATGATTTGAGGATCTACAGCCGAGTGATACACAAATAAGATACATTTTTGTTAATAGTTAAGGTACTTGAATGTATTTTTAAGACTTGACTCCTGGGATTAGTGTCACTTTAAAGAAACAAAGACATAAGTCTCCAATCCCTGTTAGAAATGGAGAAATGCACACTTACCTTACAAGTGTGCCCTTCTCCAGAGCTGTGTCCTTTGAGAAGAAAAAATTTAGGGGGGTATTTGATTCCTATAAATACACAAATGTCCCATATATTGAACTTCGTGCAAAGTTGTTCACTTTAAGGTCATTGCAAGGGACAAGGGGGCACTCATTGCTTTTGGAGAAAAAAGAGGTTTAATCTCCACATACGGAAAGAATTCTTCACAGTAATAGCTATGAAAATAGAGACTAGGCTATCTTGGAAACTAGTTCTAGCCAGCTCACTTAATTGTTTTAGAAAAAGCTGGATGCATTCCTAAATGCACAGAATATACCTGGATATTATTATTTAAAAATAACACCAGAGATTGTTGATTCAGAGAATATCTAATTACCTTAGGGGATCAGGAAGGATTTTCCCCCTATTGGAGCAAAATTGGACCATGCTTTATAGAGATTCTACGGGGTTTCTTCTGGATCAACTGTGAGCATAAGGTTTTGTTTATTGATAAGGTTTTGTTTATTTGTTTATTTATAAGATGTATTCATCTTTTTTATTCTCTGCTTGTTGAACTCAGTGGACTTTGTCTTTTTTTTTAACCTGACTAACTATATAGCTATTTACCTCTACAGCTGTGTGATGCAGGCTCTGTCCCTTGCCGCCATCTCATCTGCTGCTACCTTCGGGTTCCCATCCATCCTCTTTAGCCATGGGGCAGCCACTAATAGGTCTCATTCACACAAGAAAAAGCCGACACGTACAGCTCTATGCTGCGTGCACGGCCGTATCGGGCAGCTCCCGAGAAGGACAGGTGCTGCGTGTGATTAGTACGCAGCCCCTGTCCTTGTCTATGGGAGTACGCGTCTGTACGCTCACCCCAAGTGCAGGTCCGTACAGGTGCGGGTGTCCTGGCTCGGACGCAGACAGGATCCATCCTGTCAGCGTACAAGTACGGACACCCGCACACGCACGGACCTGCACTTGGGGTGAGCGTACAGCCGTGTACTCCCATAGAGAAGGGCAGAGGCTGCGTACTAATCACACGCAGCAGCTGTTCTTCCCCGGAGCTGCCCGATACGGCCGTGCACGCAGCATGGAGATGTACGTGATGGCTTTTTCTCGTGTGAATGAGGCCATAATGTAACTTCTGCACAGGCAAACAAATGTTACACTGTCCTCAGCACCCAGTTGTAAGATGCTGAGAATGATTGTACTGCGCATGTGCCATACAGTGTACAGAAAGAACACAACATTTTCTAGGGAAGTGAGCAAGAAGGTTTTTGGCAGAAGAGACAACGCAGGCCTCATCTGCCAAAAATCCCCACCTCTAGGCAATTTTTTTTAGTTTTAGAGTTTAGTTCTGCTTAACATGATCTTTTCATAGCATGTCTTTCCCATACCTGTATGTAATGCTTCTTGTTGGTTGAAGTATGAATGGAGTAGGGGGTATAAGCGGTTGCTTTCAGGGTATATATATTTAAAACACATTTATATGAACTGGAGAATGAATGGTATACACTACAGAGAGCGTTTTGATAGCACAGTTGGGAATCCCTAGCCTGCAAAAAAACAGATTCGGGTTTAGATGTTCCCTGAAGGCCAAATTGCTGTCAACCAGAGGATTTTACACAGCAGGGTGGCCTGGTGTATTCAGGCAATGTTAGGATGGACAAAACACAAAGGACCAGTGTTGGCAGGCAATGTACCCTGCATGCATTTCCATTCTAAATTTGTGAATTTGACTACCAGGTACTTTGCTTATTTTCACTCACTCCTTGATGTGGACCTAGCTTCGGATATATTTTTTCAGGTTGATGCTGATGCTCCAAAGGCCTTTCTTGCCAGAAGGCCGACAGCATCCAGGGAATCTCCTAAACTAAGAAGTTTGCACATAGATGAAACCACCATGTAAAGCCATTAGCTGATCTCACCTTATGAACTGCCACAAAGTTACAATCTTACAACAGTGCCAACTACCGTGTTTCCCAGAAAATAAGACGTACCCCGAAAAAAAGGCCTAGTACTATTTTTGAGAAATGCGAAAATATAAGACCTACCACGAAAATAAGACTTAGTTGTGACCATTCCCAGGTCCGGTGGTGGCATAAGGGCGAACTTGAAGAGCCGTGGGAGAAATGGGAGGGAATCAGAGGTGCCAACGAAGCCAGCACTAGAGGAAGCGAGGCGGCAGCAGAGGGAGTGCTGGCTCCTGTCAGAGGCGGAGTGATACCAAATGCACTCGCCTATGAGGAATCGATAGTGAAAGTGCGCTTCGGTCATTCTGGCCAGTGATTGGTTACTAAATTGCTCTTGGAAAGGTCCGGCACCCGTTTGCCCTGATCACCCTATTCTTAACTTTTCCACTCACTCCTGTCTTGTAAGTCTTCTACCAGTATTATGGTATAGTATTATGGCATGGTAAGACCTACCCCGAAAATAAGACCCAGTGTGTTTTTTTGAGCCAAAAACAATATAAGACAGTGTCTTATTTTCTGGGAAACACAGTAGTGATGAAGGGAGAGGGGGGCTGAGGAAATGCTTTCCTCCTTCCTGCAGCAGACTCTGAAGACATCATTCTTCCAAGATGCTCCTGCCAGCTACTCAGTGAAAACTGTACATGGATGTAGTCACTTCACTGGCACTCAAGCACTATTTTTTAAAGTGCATGTCAAGCCAAAAACTTATTTTTAGGTTTGGATAGAGTGGGGAAGGATTAAATCCCATCTGGTCTTTACTGCTATCCTGGGCTCCATTAGAAATAATGTTCCTGGTGTTTCGGTTTCACCAGACAGAAGTGAGGATAACAATTGCAAAAGGGACACAATATGAATACAAATTCCAGGTTTCCTCTACTTCCTCTTCTTTCCTCACTTGCTGTCTGGAAAGAGGTTGTCAGCAGAACAGCAAATTAGGGAAATCTCCCCTAAAGGCGTACCAAATAGCAGTAAAAACCTAAGAGGGTTCTAACCTTTCTCCACTCTACCCAAAGCAAAAAACTGGTTTGACCTACACTTTAATGATGAAAATCATAGTTCTGTTTCCATTTGAAAATGATATTGTTGCTGTATATTACATAAATCCAAGATTTGTGAAGTCAGTTGTGAATTTGTCTTGTGCTGTCACTACAAAGGCAGACAATTATCAACTTTTCAAAATGGTTCTCATTATTTCAAAACCACACAAAACTTTCTGTGTTGCAGGACATACCAAGTGGTGGCAGTTTGCACGTCGTCAGGGTGTCTGTATTGGCTGAACATGTGGAAGGGAGGCGGGATACTCCTTCTTGAAGTTGGGGAACTCTGGTTAGCACTGGAGACTGAGGGATGCTGGGTAGGGTCAGAGATTTCCCAAGAACCGGCCTCTGCAACTTTCTATCCAGGGACCTAATGAGAAGAGAAAAATAAATACTAAACATTTACGACTGCACACCTTCTAAAAGAACAAGTATTTCCAAGCTGACAATTCAAACGTAAGACATTTTAATAATACTTAAGGATTTCTATATATTTCCCCAGAACATACTGTAGAAGTACGGAGATTTCAGGCAATGTTCCTTGAGAAACATACACCATATGTATGTAAAAAGTTTGTGGACACCTGACTATCAAACCTATATGAGCTTGTTGGACATTACATTATAAGGCATTAATATGAAATTGCCTCCCTGCTTCTTGTGGTTCTAACAGCCTCCAATCATATGGGAAGGCTTTCCACAAGATGTCAGAATGTGTCTGCTGGAATTTATACCCATTCATTCAAAAAGGAATTTGTGAGGTAAGGTACTAATATTGGACAAAAATATCTGGTTTGCAGTCAGCGTTCCAATTCATCCCAAAGGTGTTCAGTACGATTGTGCAGGCCAGGAGTTCCTCCAATCCAACCTCGTCACACCATAGTCTCAATTCACAAAGATTTAACACCAACCTAGGACACTTTTTTTTAGCCATGTGCCTATAAATCTCTATTTTCATTGGACCCAATGGAAAATAAGTGGGACTTTTCTGAAAATGAGGATACTTACCTTAGTGTGTTAGCTTTGTGATTTGAGCCTTATGTCTTTATGGACCTGTCTTTGTGCATACTCATATTGGAAAAGAAAAGGGCCTTCACCCAACCTGTTGCCACGAGGTTGAAGTGCACAATTGTCTAAAATGTCTCTGCATTCTGTAGCATTAACAGCACCCTTCACTGGAAACACCTTAACTCAATAATTTGAAGGGGTATCCACAAAACTTTGGCCATATGGTGTATGCAAGTAACTCTCTATAAAGTGAGAACGGTCTTCTAAGTAAATTCAGTTTATTCTGAGGCAGCCCTGTAAGTAAAAACCTCACCCTCCAGGTGTATCAAACATCATGTAACCTTTACAGGACAAAAATACTGACCCATTAAATGTACTGTTTCAGACTACAGTCTTTATCACAGAGCTGATGGTTCTGGTCAACATGTGAATCATTACAGAAGTTGACACAAATGTAAATTATACGGAGACACATCAGCAAGGTTCCCAGGATAATGTTTGCAAAACCCTCTCCCACAGGCGAAAGGACTTGGAGGCAATTGATATTTTATTTTCTCAAATGTATTGCGTATTATGCCAAGCACCTGCTCCAAACAGCTTACTATCCTCTCCTCATTTCACCAGTCTTGTATGATTAGACTAGGTGTGCTTTTTAGGAGTACAGGCAGTCCCCGGGTTACGAACAAGATAGGGTCTGTAAGTTTGTTCTTAAGTTGAATTTGTATGTAAGTTGGAACAGGTAAATTTTTTAAGTGTAACTCCAGCCAAAATGTTTTTGTTTTGTTTTGGATAGCATAGGGAAGGGTTAACACCCTGTAAAGTTTGTGTGCCCCTTTTCAGAAGATTTCACCTCACTTTCTGTCCCTGTGACAATTGGATTTTCAAAATTTTGAGTTGTCATGGAAACAAGGATTGGTGATAAAGCTTCAGTGGAGACATCTTTTTCCCATCATCACTCTACAGGATACAGAGGATACAGACATGACTGATGGATTCGTCAATGTTCGTCCCTCCGTTAAAACCACAATAACATACGGACTGCGCGACATGGATTTTAACGGCCACAGCAGCCCTTTTATTAAACCAAACAACTTTTAACAATAACCAAAAGTAATAAACCAAATAATATACACAAATAATACTGTAAACGATTTTTGACCTAAGAAGGGGTCTTTGGGTGCCTAACAGCCCAAAAAAGGCCTCTCCTAACACTCCATCCATGTCCCCAGCCGCACCACAACCAGCTCGAGGACACTTACTCCTTCTGGGTTCCCAAGGGGCCAGGCCCCGCCCTTTACAAATCCGGACACCAACAGGGGGAAGCACCCATACCAGCTGAGGGCCCCCCATTTTCGTAATCAACTCCGATTTTGAAGACCCCCTAAACCGCCAAGCTGCCGTGACAAAAGAACCCCATAACTACAAAATTCAGGGAGGGAGGGTGGAAAAGGACATCCCTCAGGCCCTGCAGATCCTTCCCATGTGGCTCCTCCCGGACCCCTGACCCCCACGTTCAATCAGGTAAGAGCAGCTATTCCCATTTTATTTTTAACTCTTTCTCCCGGGACTATTCCTCCCCGCAGTCATGTAGCCTCTCCGCTCAGTCTCTCTAGGTCTGTCTGCAGTTAAAACCTCACAGTGACCCGGAAGAAGAGATGGGCACCCTTTTCTGCAAGACTAACAAGAGCCAACTTCCTGTAGTGTATGTACAGTACTATGAACCAGACCCAAAAAGGCGGGGACTCCTCGTCGGCACCAGCGCAGTAGCAATACAACTACCCCTGCTGTACAGTAATAGCCTCCGTTTGAAAGTAGCAGTCGTATGTAAGTCGGATGTTTGTAACTCGGGGACTGCCTGTATTCCCTTACCACCTAGTAACCAAAAACGGTAAAACATATAAGCACACTGCAAGTGTGATCTGAGGATCAATAGACTTAAAGGACTGGGTGAAAAAGGTCCTTGTTAGTTCAGTGCTGAGGTTCCATAACTAATCTACTGAACTGATTCCTCTTGTCAATTTTGGTCCAATGTGTCATGACTTTGACATTCCAAACTGTTATCTTTAGACACTTCTTTTGAATACAGCCTAACCTTGCATGGTCTAAAACTCCTGATCACCATCTGCCTCAACATTTTATTGCTTTAGGCATTACTCTTTTGTCTACTGACTTGGAACTTTGGTTCCTTCTTCTGTCTCCACGCCAAATGTTGGTAGCAGGGCGGACAAAAGGCGTATAGAATGGCAGCCTTTTGCAGACAGACCCATATCTTCTCATAGGAGACACTTTTGATACTTCCTCTTGAGGAAGCCCATGCCAATCCCTCATGATATAAGGGGTCTACAATACCAAGTTTCAGTTTTTGTAAGCAGTATTAGTAAATCTGTAGCAATATTTGCTTATGATAGGTGCACAGCTAAGTACTGACCAAATTATGGTTGACATTTACTTTCAGGAAGAGACTAAATGATATATAAAATGATATACTATATAGTTTATATACTATATAAAATAATCTTGACAAATTGCAGCCTTTATCATAACACAAAATGAGTACTTCCGCTGTGTTTCTGGATGTAGAATGCAGTCTTACACATCATGAACCATTTCATTCTAGTTCACAGATTTTAGTGCAGGTTTTTAAGCCCAGGTAATACGGTGGCTTTATAGGTAGTAGGTACCCTTGCTTTTATTGCTTGGTGTTCTTGGCATGATAGTTTTTTTTAGATATGTGCGATTCGTTTCATTCCGAATCAAAATTCTGACATTCCATAGTTACATAGTATTTGAGGTTGAATAAAGACATATATGTCCATCAAGTCTAACCTATTTGTGTATGTGTGTATGGTCCTATTGGTGTGTAGTATGTATAGGTCCCTTGTGTGTTATCAATTTTAAGAGTACTTGTACCCCTGTATATTACGGTCCCTGAGGAAATCATCCAATCGCCTCTTGAATTATTCCACACTTTCAGCCGAAATCACATCATGTGGCAGCGAGTTCGAGACCCCGACTGATCTAACTGAGAAGAACCCCTTTCGCCCCTTGTGCTGAAATGTTTTCTCCACAAATTTTAAGTGGTGGCCTCTCGTCCTTGTCATCGAGTTCATTGTAAAAAGTTTGCTGCTAATGTTACTATCCCCGGTAAACATTTTATACATGAAAATCATGTCCCCCCTTAATCTCCTTACTTCCAAGGAGAACATGTTCGATTTTAGAAGCCTGTTCTCATAACTCAGGTCCTCCATCCCCTTTATGATTTTGGTTGCCCTCCTCTGGACCCTCTCCAGTTCAAGGACATCCCCCACTGGTGCCCAAAACCGGACCGCATACTCCAGATGAGGCCGAACCAGTGATCTATAAAGTAGCATAATTACGGACTTGTCCCTGCAAAACATTCCCCTCTTAATACAGGAAAGGACTCTACTTGCTTTGTTTACCGCAGCCTGACACTGCAAACTATTTTTCAGCCTGTGGTCTACAATGACCCCCAAATCCGTTTCCCTTTCGGATTTTCATTTCCGAATTTCGGATCAAGTCCAAATTTCATTTAAAAAACTAAACTGAATCATACTTGTGACTTTTCTGGACAATATGCTGTGTTTTTCGGTTTAATGGATCCGAACGGGTCTGAACACAAATTTTGGTTACCGCAACATGGGAGCCATATACAGTATATACATATAATACTAAAGCTGAGGCTCCTAGACCCGAATGGCATTCGAGATCCGAATTTCCGCATTGCATTTGGGAGCTCCCGAATGCCATTCGGGTCTGGGAGCCTCAGCTTAAGTAATACATGTATATGGCTCCCACACCGGGATGCCATTCAGGATCCGAATTTCCTAATTGCATTTGGGAACTCCCGAATGCCATTTGGATCTGCGAGCCTCAGCTTTAGTAATATAATGTATATGACTCCCAGACCCGCAATGAATATTCATAAACTCATCCGAAACTAATGAAAATTCGATTTCGTCCGAATCCAAAACCCGAATTGAATTTCGGATCCGAAATATCTGAACCGAACCTAATTTTTCCATAGCTTACATGTCTAGTATTTTTACAGCTAGTATCACCATGCTAGTGCCTATCATCATGGTACAGAATTTATTGCTGCAACCTCCTTTTTAGGCAGAGGGCTAGGACTGAGGTTCAAAATCACAAAAGGAAAGTATTGAACTAGCTTTCATGGTCAAAAATCTGACCCATCCTTCCCCATCTACCTTAACGTATGGCTGGAGTATTCGTGTGACGGGTACTGTTACCGGCCAAAGTGAGGCATGGTAGATTGGAGGAAAAAGGGTCATATTCCCAGCCACAGCAGTTGGTAGTCACATACCAGGGCACCCCACAAGAGCC